GATGATGCAGATGATTTTTATCTCATCAGGCAGTACAACAGGCATCCTGGTGCACAGGGCTTGGGGGGATCGAACAATACAAAACCAAGGGAGGTATTAAACATGAGCGATCTCCATAACCAAGGATCAACATATACAAGAAATTTGTGAAGGATTCTACAGTAATGTCCATGAACTTGGGGTAGTGGCTGCAGAGGACATGATCACTCAGCGACATCTTGGGTATTTCTCGTTGACAGTGAAGGTGTTTCAAGAACATTTACTATTGATTGGTGTGCAGCAAAGAGATTAAGTATGTACTGTTGTCATCCTGTTTATGAGAACTGCAACATTGCAAAGTAATGTCAGAAGAATCATTTGCATAAATTGCTGTTGAATCATCAGAGAAGATGAAGACCTTCAATCATAACCAAGTGTACCTAAAGAACAGTTGGCGTTTGTGCATATTAGAGAATGTACACCCTGTGAAATTTATGCTTATGATCAAGTACATGTAATCTGTCTTTTATTTTGAGCAATGTAGATTTACAGTGCATTTCAATAGAATTGTGTTACTACACCCAAATTTCAGTTTTTATTTTGCTACCTCATTTTAGTCAGGAAGTACAACAGCATTGAAAATAGAAGGGTAGTGATGACATTTTGTCATTGTTAGTTTATAGTCATTACATGGAAACTTGTGCACCCTTTGGCTTTCAGTTATCAAAAGGGAATAATCCTGTTTGTCGGGTTGAAACCTAACCTGTAATTTTGCTCATTTACAGAGTCCAACTAGTAATGACATTACAAAATTTTAGCTGCCATTATATAGTGCAAGGGTGTGAATAAATTGCACAAGAGTTGGGACATACAGTGCAAATTTACTTCGTCGCTTGTTTGACAGCAGCATGCCTAGCAGTGGTGTCTTATTTCCAGGTGCATTCTAATGGACTGAGTGGGTCCAGATGCTGAGAAAGCCATGAAAGACTTGGGAATTCTCTGTGTCTCTTACACAAACAGTAAACGAGTATGTGCATATGTACCACACGCACACACACACACATTGTGTATTTTACTGCTTGTCGTGTTCCATTAATCTTACACCTCAGGCTTTGATATTACTAGTGCAATTCTATCTGTGCAGAACAAGTCAAGGTAGCAAACTAGAGGAATATGCAGATAAAAACCTGTAATTCTATGTTTGTGGTGTACCTTGAATGTGCTTCAAATATGCTGTTGATGCTTCACATTTCTGTGACTTCTATAATGCATAATTTTGTACACATTCTGTAATCTCTGCTTGATTAGTAATATGAATTATATGGTTGCTATCATGGCTGGACTTTGACTTTGTGAAACTCCACGATAAGTTACATTTAAAAGGTCCAAATTTGAAAATAGAAATAAAAACTTGTCCTGACTGAAAGAAACAAAAACATAAAAAGAAACTGATGTAAATGAAAGCATTATACTACTGTAGTATTGATGTTAACATATGACTGTGTAAAGCTAAAATGAACAGTGTTTTCACAATAAATTTATTTAAATATTGAGGCTTTTTTGATGTTGCTGATGGATGTATATATAATTGTACCGAGTCTACAATTTATGTCTTTTGGGGTGTGCCCGTGCCACGCGGTTGGCTGACGATCTGTTGACGTTGGCAGGACAGGTGCATGTTCTTCCCGTGAGTCACAGGCGAATCAGTTTCAGTGCCACTAGTAACGGAGCTGCGAGTGTTTCTCGTCACTGCTACATGTTATTACATTAATTGTTCTTACTTTAAATCACAAAAGATGTTCAAAGTGACTTCCTTGTGCTTGCAGGCAAGCTTCACATCTCATTAACATATTTCTAAATACTCGACGAAGCTCTTCTGGGATATTGCCGAAATGAATTGTCATTTCCTGTTCTTCTTTTTATCCAAAACTGATCCCGTACTATGAATTTTTTTTACTAAGCTCTCTTATCATGGGCCTGCTAGGAACACTTACACCGGGAAAATGTCTGCGAAATTTACGGCGGCATCTTCCGTAGGATGAATATTTGGCATATGTTTCGACTAAGAACACACGTTGCTTAATACTATACACCATATTATCAACGTCAATCCACTACAAGAGACGCAATGAAACTGATTCGCCTGTGACTCATGGGAAGAACACGGACTAGTCCCGCCCACGTCAACAGATCGCCAGCCGACCACGCGGTGCGGGCGCGCCCCGAAAGACGTAAATTGTAGACCCGGTATATGTGTGTGTGTGTGTCAGATGGAGAGAATTTACAAGGGAATGCAGCACCACAGCTAGGCACACTGCCATCATGTGTATGCATTGTGGCACAAATTCAAACTGTATGTTCCAACTTTGGGCAATTTTTTTGCACCATGTAACAACAGCTAAAATTCTGTGTAGTCCTTACTAGATAGGTTCTTTAAACATGCCAAATTTTAGGTGAGGTTTTGACCTGACAAACCAGATCATTGTCTTGACAGCGCTGTTTGATTTATAGTAACTGTGCCTGGTCAAGACACATGGTCTTAGTGCCTTTTTTAGGTAATGTATATTATTATTATTATTATTTATTATTGACTGCAAATGGGTTTTTACCCGGTGGCAGTGGTCCTACAATAAG